TCCTAAAAATCTTTTAATTTGCTAGTTGTTTTTCGGATTGGGTAATTTTGTATTACCTGTATTTTTTCATTATTCGGTTTTATGCCGTTAGGCGTTATGATATGCCCTAAATATCCAATTTCTCTTTTTAGGAACTCTGTTTTATCCAGTTGGATTTTGAAATTGTATTTTCTTAACTGACGGAATACTTCTTTTAATTTAGTAATGTGTTCTTGGAGGCTAGCACTGAAGATAATTATATCGTCAAGGTACACCATGCAATTGGTGATACCACGGAAGATATTGTCCATAACCCGTTGGAACGTGGGTGGCTAATTTTTCAGCCCAAACGGCATTATTAGGAATTCTACCAATTCTATCGCAGAGAAATATTGACATCTCCCCAGCCTATCAAATAAGTCTGTGATATTTGGAAGTGGGCACTTACCATCTATGGTTTTATCGTTTAATTTTCTGTAGTCTACCACAAGACTGAACTTCTCTTTTCCAGAGGCGTTTCTTTTTTTTGGTATGACCCATAGCGGTGAGTTCCATGGAGAGCTAGATGGCTGTATTATGTTATGTTCTAGCATTTCGTCAATTTGTCGCCTAACTTCGTTATTATATATCTCAGGATATTTATAGGATTTAGTGTAGATTGGTACCTCGTCTTTCGTTCTTATTACATGTTTTACGTCATTAGTGAATGTTAGAGGTGTACCTTCTTGATAAAATATGTCACTAAATTCTTTTGTTAATTGTTCTATAGCTAGTTTTTCTTCCGTATTCATGTGATCTGTCCTGATTTTTGCCAAGTTAATATGGTTTTTGGTTTTATCTTTATTTCTTTGGTTTGATAATTCTAATATATCTTCATGGCTGACTGATATCGTGTTTAAGGGGTTCTGTAATTGTTCGTGTTTATGTGAATCACTATTGTTTTTAATAATGCATAAGGCTCGGTGGTTCTCTACTTTTATGAGACATTCATTAATTTCTAAGTCTTTAGATATGATGTGAGGAATAATTGCATGTCCAGATTGAACATTTTTTACTGGGACTTGAATTACTTGTTCACTTTTTGCTTGTATTTTATACATTTTTGGTGTTTCTTGTATTCTTTTTTTTGTATATTAGTATCAGACGTAGTTAATTTATTTTCATTAAAATCAATACGAGCATTGTGTTTTTTAAGAGCATCCAATCCTATCAACATATCGAACAGGTCTGAAATTTAAATAATCGAAACTTTAATTTTAAATTGTCTATATTACACAATTCGTCGCAAGATACAATTGTGCTGAATTTTCCTGTCGAGGTCGCGTGTGCAGTTGTAATTCTAAATGGGTCATTCCTTATGTTATTTTCAAAGTGTTTGAATGCTATGTTAGGCGTAATAAATGATGTAGTACTTCCGGTATCTAATAACATTTTTAAATTGTACTTAGGTAATTTGAAGTACGGGAGACGAATTTTGTCCCAGTTCGTCACCATCCGGAATTCGGGTAGTGTTCGGGAATCTCTAAAAAATGAGTCGAATTTTCACTGGAAAAGTCGTCTGATGATTGAAAATCATCAGGTTGTTTCAATTTAGGTGATTTTTCGCTCATGTGATTAAGTTCTTCCGTTATATAATTAGGTGCGTGTTGACCATATTTGGCATTCTGTTGGTTAAAGTAATTGTTGGGATGTCTGTTTTTTTGCCAACTTTGAGTTGTTTGTGTTGACATCGGTGTGGGTTTTGTGTGTTGGTTATTGGCATTCTAGGTGCAAAGTTTCCTTGGGGTTAAAGGGTCTTTGTGTTATATTCACAGGTCCAGTTGGGAAATTTGTGTTAAAAAGTTTCCTGGGAAGGATTCTGAAATGTTTTTAAAGGTTTTAAATGAGATGACTGTGTGTGTGGTTCATAATTCATGTATTGGAAGTCATTAACCAGCAATCTTTCAATTTGTAACAGAGTTTTCGGGTTCCTGGTCGCTAAGGATCTTTCAGCGAACTTATGAAATTGTGGCATATTGCTAATTCTTGAAACTGAATTAGGTAACTTTTGTTGACTTCCGTGCCTTCTAAAATATTTATTTTCGAACGGAACAGATAGAATTTTTCTTGAATTTCAGCGAGTGAAGTTAATACGTTTTTGTTCGAATTGTGCCTCAAAATTTCTATGATTAAAACTCGCCGGATCTTGAATATCTGAAAAGTTATTTATCAAATGTGCTTTCAATTGTTCCCAAGTAGTGAACTGAATATTTCTCATAGACTCATTAGATTTGTTTCTTTTGTCGTATATTTAAAGTAGAAACATTTTGTACATTGCTCAATAAAGTGTTTATTTCTTCCACTTTTATAATAAATTGGGTCAAAGTTTTAGGATTACCGTTTAAGTTGGTATAGCATCTAGAATTAGTTTCAAATCTGACGAACTGCCATTTTTTTAATTTTAATTTTATTATTACAACTTTTATTTTCTTAAAATTATAATTTTCATTGAAGTTATTGTGTGAGTTTTTATTAATATATTATTATAATTATTATAATATTTTGTTATAAATTAATATTTACTCACAGAATGATTACAAAGTGTGCCATGTCCAATTCTTCATCTTCTTTAGACTGAAGTACAAGTAGGTTGATGAAGTTCGAGGCGGCACGTTAACCGTTGATACAGTTGGTTTCAATATTCTCTTCAACACTTTCGCCGTCCCACTGACTGCGCCAATTATGGATAATAATTCGAGATCTTACTTTTTAAAAATGTTTATTTAAAAAGTAGTAGCTCTGCCGATATACATTCGAGGAAGCGTACACAGAATCTAATCTATTTACCCTCAGTTAATCATTAAGTCACCTCGGATAACTTATTTATGAAATTAGCTAACATCAAAGAAATGTGTTGTTTATCAAACTTATATATTGTGCATATGTAATCAAGGACTTATAATTTGTAATTTATAATACATGTAATTATCTGTAACTTCCATATTTATGAATGTATTCTCTCTGCAAGTGGTTTTTAGTATAATTTTCACCACTGTTCTAATTTCTCTTGGCCAAATCAACAAATATCGTAAATATACATAAGCCCTCTGCCACAAGGATGTATAATGTCCTAGACATTTCCCCTTGTAGTCACTTTGTACAAAATGTATGTAAAAATAATAGTGCATAAAAATCAATCAATCAATCAATCACCTCGGATTAAGGGGGAGAAAAATGCAATTGTGCTTAATCGACATCTGATAAGCCGAGTGCATTTTTCTGTACAAGTAACCCTATAACTAATATTGAATAATATATATAACTTATATATAACTTTCATACATCAGCAGTTACCTTACAGAAACTAGCCACTACACTGATGCTGTTGTTATCTGGACGATTTAATAATTGTGATAATTTGTTAACAGTACAATTTGAAATATAATGAAAGTAAAGTCGGATTTAAAACTTTATTAAACCTATTTGAAAGATAATTTTAATCTAAGATTTGGCCAGCTTCTGGCAGATTGTTGTTGATTATGAAATGCTCAATACTAAAATCAAAAACTCTGATATCAGTTATGCAGCAAGAGGAGTGCTGAGGCTGAACTGATGGTCCACAAAAGTAGAGCACAGAAGTTTTATTCAAAACTAAAATTGGAGAAAGGGGAAAAACAATAAGGAGTTTTCATCATTTCAGCCTACACCAGCACTCTCCTGGAATGTTGAAGGCCTCCAATTTCATCAATGGGCTAGTTCACTATACATTCAGCATGCGCAAAGGAACAACTGTGCTGGAACTTCCAAGTGGAAAAGCATGCCTTATAGGTAAAGTTCCTTTGAAGCTGGCTAAGGTTAATGATGTTAAGCAACAACCATACATCCCAGAAAAATACATGCCTTTTTATATGTTTCTAATCAACTAGCCAGCCATTGTTACGAAGGAGGCGATGAGAACGAATACTTTTGAAAAAGATACATTGTTTTATTCTTTGATTCACTTTTATGGTATCAAATTTATATTGAATCAAGAAATCTTTTAAACATTCATTTGAGCCCATTTTTTAATCCACTCGTGCAAAAAGGGACCTTAATTCAACTGATGTTTATATAGTTACTCAGATATCGTGAGATGCGGTCGGGAGTGATGTAGGTTTCAGAAAAACATTTTCTTTATCGTGCCAACGTTTCGATCTTTTATTGAGATCATCTTCAGGGCTCAAAGTGTTTGTCTTCTGTGTAATTGTGCCATCCTTGTGTGTCGTGTTGAGAAGACAAACACTTTGAGCCCTGAAGATGATCTCAATAAAAGATCGAAACGTTGGCACGATAAAGAAAATGTTTTTCTGAAACCTACATCACTCCCGACCGCATCTCACGATATCTGAATAACTATAGATTAACGGTCACTAATCTCTACACATTTCTACACGAGAAGAATGATGTTTATATTTTTATTGTTTAAATAATAAAATTTAGACCCAAAGGCAATGACGTTTTTGATACATGCAATCTAAATGAACAATCAAAAACAATTTCATTGAAAAATTTCAAAATTACAAAGATATAGACAGATTTTTTTTGAAGTTAGGAAAGGCGTAAGGACCCTTCTTTTAAGAAGCGAGTCACTTAAAATAAGTAGAATTTTATCATAAGCATATATTTGGAATTGCCAGATTTATTATTGCAAAATTAAAACATTTGCCTTATGCCTCATATTTTGCTATACATATTTATTTATTTATTTTTTAATTTTTTTAATTTTGAAGACCTTAGTTTCACCAAATCCAGTATTTTTCCATTATAGAAAGGTTAAAAATAAATCTTTTTTGCAGGGTATGTGAAAACATTGTCCTTTTATAGAGGTATCCATTATGATAGCTGCACTGTATTTGATTTGAAAATAAATTTTATACTAAAAAAACAAAAACAAAAAAAACGATTGCAATTGTGCTTGAATTCTGTATACTACAGTGCTATATCATAAATAAATACATTTACTTAATTTAAGAAATTTAAAATTTAAATGGTACCACACATGATTACTGACAGGTGACAATAGTAAATTTTTGTTAAAATATACCAACACAACAAAATTCTAAAAACAATAACATACCCTAACAATAAATTCACACACTCATAAAAATAAATGGGACAAGATTTCCTTTAAAGAGGCTTGTGACACTTTTCAAAAATGAGCAAAACAGATAAAGAAGATGAAGAAGTCTATGGGGATGATTATGATACATATGAAAGGGAAAAAGAGTTTGTCCAAGATGTAGCAACAAAGCATAATGTCGTTATGTTCAGTAAAACATGGTGTCCATTTTGCAAAAAATTAAAGGCCTTGTTTGAAGCGAATAAAATAAGATATAACGCTTTAGAATTAGACACCCATTCCAATGGGCCAAATATCCAAGATGCACTGGAGGAACTCACAGGTTCAAAAAGGCCAGTACCTGCAGTATACATATGTAAAAAGTTTAGAGGAGGCTATAATGAAATTTATTCCGCATGGGCAAATGGAACGTTAGAGGAGTGGTTACAATGTAAAGAAACTGACTTTACATTTGATTTGCTAGTCTTAGGGGGTGGATCAGGAGGAATTGCAGCAGCAAAGGAGGCAGCTAAGCTTGGGAAAAAAGTAGCGATAGTCGATTATGTAGCCCCGACACCCAAAGGCACCACATGGGGCCTTGGTGGCACTTGTGCCAATGTCGGTTGTATTCCCAAGAAATTAATGCACAGGGCAGCCCTCATTTACCATGATATTAAAGATGCCGAAAGCTTTGGCTGGGAAGTCGAGCCACCTGAAACCCACAATTGGGAGTCTATGATTGAAAAAATACAAGAGCACATAGACTCACTAAACTGGGAGTACAAAAAACAGCTTAGAGAACTGGGTATAGTATACCATCAAGGCAAAGGCATGCTAAAAGATAGGCATACAGTTGAAGTTATTGGTAAAGAGGGGAAGAAAACCGAGTTGCAGGGCAGCACTATTTTAATTGCTGTTGGAGGAAGACCAATGTACCTTGATGCTGTTGGGGCAGAAAAGTGTTGTATCACATCGGATGATTTATTTTCATTAAAATCAAACCCAGGAAGAACACTGGTCATTGGTGGAGGACATATTGCAGTTGAATGTGCTTCATTTTTAAATGTCTTTGGATGTGAAGTAAAGGTAAGAATTTTCTTCTTTCTTTTTTATTTTGAAATAATAATTTATAAAAATTTTAAAATAATGTAATATATTAATAACATTATAAACAAAACTATGTGTTTATGCTTAAATTCTCTTTGAACAGAAATTATTTATCAAGCAGAATAGCAATAACAGGATGGCACCCATACTTTACTTAAAGAATCTAAAAGCATAATAATTTAATTTTTGATAATACCATAGGTTTAAGAAAATTTTGATATATTGTATAATTAATTTTGAACACTGGCTAAAATTTATTAACTTTAGAGGACAAAGAGCAATAAGAATTGGTGCCAATATTATATAAGGATTACGTTTTCAATAAAGAAAATTAATTAATTTTGTGTTTAGTTAATGGCGCGTAAAAATTTACTGAAGAGGATGGATCAAGATTTTGTAAAAAGAATAACACGTCATTTAGAAGCACATGGCATTGAAATTAATTATGACGCCTTTGCTATAAAATTTTATAAACCTAAATACCAAAACAAGATTTTTGTGGAAGGCATGGATGGTCAAGGAGACAAGTTCTGTGAGGAGTTTGATACAGTGATAACTGCACTAGGAAGATGGCCAAATACAGAATGTATAGGGCTTATGACAGTTGGGGTACAACTTGATGAGCACACAAAAAAAGTAATAGTTAATCGTAGAGACCAAACAACGGTGAGCAATATATTTGCTATAGGAGACTGCAGGTATGGGACACCAGACTTGACACCAATTTCAAAAAAAGCAGGCAAGCTTTTGGCACGCAGGCTGTTTGGCATGAGTGATGTATTTTTTGACTATAAACTAATACCGAACACTATATACACCCCTTTAGAGTACAGTTTTGTCGGAGAAAGTGAAGAGCATGCCTATGATATACATGGAGATGCAATTGAGATATATCACAATATATTTCAACCATATGAAAGCGTCCTTTCAAACAGGTTCGATTCAAGAAGTTATGTGAAGATCATCTGCCAAAAAGTGCCATCTGAAGGGGAGAAGATTATCGGCATTCATATATATGGTCCGAATGCTTCAGAAATCATCCAAGGATATGCTTTAGCGGTAAAGATGGGTGCTACAAAAGAACAACTCGATTCATTAGTCGGTATCCATCCAACTTGTGCAGAGTTCCTTACCAATTTGTGTATAACTAAAAGATCCGGTGAAGACATTGAACAAATTGTCTGTTGATGTGAATCAATTTTAGAAAAAAATTGTAAAAAACAATAAATTGTTTTTATTGACAATTTCATATTTTTCATCTTAAAACTTTGTTTGGTTTACATAATAACAGAATAAGCAAAATAATTTGTTAAAGGTTAAGATTTGGCAGGTATGCCTAACATTAAAGGTACACGAGTCCTGAGTAAAAACTACACCTAAGAGTGACAAGTTAATAAATAGTTATAGGAATTAAAATAAATAAACGTTTTTATTTTTACATATTTATAAGTAATTGACATTATTATTAATATTATAGAAAAAAACATCTCAAAATAAAACAAAAATTTTTGGGTGTTCTAAAAAAAATTGAGGTGTACAAGAACAGAAGGATGCGATACAAAACAAATCAGTTTACAATATATAAAAATACTCAAACCTTTTATGTGATAATGCTTAAATTATTTCACTCAAGCAAGAGTAATTGAATAATCTTTTATCTTTAGGTTTTGGTGCCAGATCAATTCTTGGAACACGTGGACTCGGGTATGGCTGAAAGATTAAAATCACATATGGAAACAAGAGGGGTCGAGTTTTTCATAGGTGCCAGACTTCATAGTTTTGGAATGGATTCCAACAAGATTTTAGTACAAGGGGTCGCCAAAGATGGTGAAAGTTTTTCTGAATTGTTTGATTGTGTCATATTAGACGTTGGAAGATGTGCAAACACTTATGGCATCAATCTTGATAAAATAGGCATTGAGACAGAGCCAAAATTCGGTAAAGTGATTGTCAATGAAAGAGATCGAACAACAGTCAGCAACATATTTGCCATTGGGGATTGCTCTACTAGAGGTGGTGGAGGTGACCTTTGCATGGTTGCCCGCAAGGAAGGGGTGTACTTTGCCCGCAGACTATATAAGATGACTGATGCATCCATAGATTATAATACAATCCCTTATACAATTTTTACAACCCTTGAATATGGTTATGTAGGATTAACAGAAGAAAACGCAAGGAAGAAATTCGGCGACGATGTTGAGGTCTATCACAATTTATTCCAACCATATATTAGCAGAGCTGCTCAAAGATTTGACTCAAGAAGTTATATAAAACTTATAACATTGAAGACATTAGGCAACAAGGAGAAAATATTGGGCATTCACATCCTAGCACCTAATGCTGGTGAAATTATCCAAGGATATGCTTTAGCATTGAAATTAGGTGCAACCAAAGAGAGCCTTGATGCATTGGCCGTTACATTTCCGACTGTTGGAGACTTCCTGAACGATTTATCAATAACAGTGACTTCTGGTGAAGAAATAGGTATCAGATAAAAATGTGTTGATTAAAAACAAACAAAAATTCGTCTGTCTCTTTATACTTAAAATATTTATTTAACTTTTTTCATTCAAACTTTAGTCATTTATAATTTTGTCATCACCATCATTATAAGCAAGCCTGTCCTTGCTGTCAGTCCGTTAGAAGCATTTCAGGATTGGGGAAGAACTGAAACGCCTCCGACAGATTGACCCACTGATAATAGGTATACCAAAATGATTGGTAATGACACTGCACACCACACAGAGAAATTCACAATTAGTAATTTAAATATGATTATGTGCAAAATAACATACTTATTTATTAAATTTTAAGTGTTTTTAAACTTGCTTAATTAATATTAATACAAACTTATTGCTATGAGTTGAAGTGATTAATTCACAACTAGCTCAATCCCTTTTCAAAATTTTTACAGGAGACACAAAAAACGTTTTAGAGCCATGCATTATGGTTTAGAACTTTATTTTTTTTTTATTAATTTGTATTGTCAAAACGGAAGGTTTCCAAATAATAGTTTTCAATATTGTATTTTTCCAGGTTGACAAAAATTTAAATTTTGAATTGAGCCGCTGTAGTTAACCAATCATTTTAGTAGAACAAGTTGAAATTACTCTCAATTTATTGGCCCAAGTCTCGCCTGCTTTCATAAACCTAGTTTCAATAAAAACAAAACAATATTCTTATATTTCTTGGGTTTCTTTTCAGGAAATAGACAACCATCACTCATTTTCTTTTTATTGATATCAATTTCGGAGGCATCAGCCTCGTTTCTTTTTGGAAACGCATTATTTAGTTCCATAATCTGCTTCCATATAGCATAGGAGCCTGATGTCCCCAAAATTGATATCAATAAAAAGAACATGAGTTTGATGGTTGTCTAGTTCCTGAAAAGAATCCCAAGAAATACAAAAAGTCAACAACCGAAAAAGAAGAGTAAAAAACAATATTCTGATTTCTTATGTATGGGGGGGGGGAACTCATGGTGAAATAAAAATTTACTGAAGAAAAAAACAGGCCTAGACGGTGAACATTGGATTGAACTGATATTGATCTAAACCCATGAGATTGGGCACATTTTTATACTGGATTGAGTCACTTTTGGTCAAAACGGCTTTGTTAGTTGTTGTAATGCATTGACAACTTGTGAAATTTAAAAAAAATCGTTTTGCAGAAAATATGTCTTGAGCCGGTTTTGAAACTAATCGCCTAAGTTAAGAAACAATAAAAATGTATGGAACAGCTATCACAATACCTGTTTGCTAGCAATAGTTCAAATTAATAACATTCTAAAGATGAAACACGGTAACCAAATTAAACTATTAACAGTATATTTTATTTATTTAAATAACAATTTTCACACAGGAGAGTGTACATTACATACAGATTTTTGTGCCACTAAAAGATGCTAAGATTGCTTCAGTTTTCATCAGGAATATGGTCAAGGCCCTGCAAGAAATTTAAAAACAGACTTGAAGTAGGTTAAGATTACATTAATGCATGGGGAAAATTTTTAATCATGCATTACACAAGTAATTTAATTACATATATGCTTTAGAGCAAAAATACTACACTGAAGATAGTGAAGTGCCGAAATTTGTCTGAAAAACATCCAGTGAGAATAGGCAGACCAAATTGGTAGGTAACAACCAAATTAAAAATTAGAAATATTAAGTAAAAAAAGCTTTGAAAAACGAATATGATTAATTGTTATGTTAATATGATTTAAATTATTCAAACAAGTATAATACGTGTAGAAATGTGTGGTGTTTAGTGACCGATAGTTAATGATTATTTGAAGATCGTGAGATGCTGTTGGTTTGACGTAGGTTTTAGAAAAACATTTTCTTTATCGTGCCAATGTTTCGAACTTTCCATCGTCCCTTTGATCTGTAGACTTAGGTCTATAAGGTCGCAACCTTTAATTTAAAAAAAAAAAAAAAAAAAATTAGGTCGACCCTGCCTGACCTTCTAGTGTGAAGCCCTGTTTCTCTGAAGGGCCAAAGAACCATTCCTATTGTAGAGTGATTTACTGTCTTAGTCTCCTGGCGACTTTATAAGCATAAAGCTTATAAGCTGCTTCCTCTAATAATATTATGACCTTGACAATGCTGTACGCATTCAAATGGCTGACTGGAGCCATTGAAAAAGACTTAAGAATAAGAATAATTTTTATCAAATGACATCAACAAAGACAAAAGATTAACTGAAAGCGATCTTTAGGAATAACAGAACGGAAGGGCATAATGCTACCTTTTGTGTAAACCGTGTTAATTTAAAGCATTGTTCAATGTTTATTTTCACTATGATTGCTCCTAATTACTTGTAACAGATGTAGAATGATAATGGATTTCATTTTAACTAAATAAATTGAGTGGTGCGTTAAATTTGCCAATAAATGAATTTTTCCTCTGCCTTCAATGAAATGCGTTCAAAACTTTAGAAATACGTATAAAATTAGCTAATTACCTGCATCACGTAGGGATTCCCGTTCAGCCTCTGATCCCGCAAGTATAAGTCCCTGTCGAAACCTGTTCCTAACACTCTGCGATAGGGCTGTAAAAAACAATAAGAAATAGTTTTCAAATCGACAAGACCAAGTTGTTTTTTTCCTAATAACCCACATTTCCGTTTTGCATAAATTTATGAAAGAAATAATTAAATACCGCTGGCGCTGCAAGCGCCGCGGTGATGATCGTAGCACAAGGGACGATCTCGTACCACATTCTGAGTTATGCTAGAAAGTAGAACTTAGTACTTAGCTCAGAAATAAATACCAAAAAGATGGGTAACAGTGCTGATACCTTCAATGATAGGGTGCAGTTGTCGATAATGCTGTGATTGCTGACTTATTGAACCTTAACATATCCCTATTCTTCCTTCACAGTTTTGTGTTGTGTTTTAACAGGAAGAGTAAATTATGAATATAGAAATTTTTTAGTTTCTGATTAATTATATATATTGATAAATTGTTGATTTTGAATAAAAAATTAATTAAAAAATGCAATATTTTGTTTTAAATTGATATGAACTCATTTGTAAAACTATTGAATAACAATTATTTTATACATGAAATTAGCATTCTAAATTATAAAAATGAAGCCTTTTAATCTTCACAAAGAGAAACCTCCCTAGCTTACCAGTGTAAGGTTACAGTACTGTTTATGTTGAAGATAACTAAGAAAAATAAAACATCCGATTCCATAAATAATGTTCAGAATTATATTTCGGAGTTCAGGCACCCTTTGTGCCGCCGTGGTAGCTCCGGAAGCAGCACGGGATCCAGGATGGGCGAGAGTGAAGAATGTTTTTACTAAAGAGTAAGTCAACTCGGCATTTTCTTTCAGCAGTCTTAGCTGATTTATGCCTTTTTTGCAGCGAATTCGGGAACCTTTCACCGGAAATGGTGACTATTTTGCAAACAGCGTTTTTGTCTGCTTTCTTTGGTGCCTTCTACGGTGGCTTCACGCATTCAAGGGAGGCCTACCTCAGGTTCATAGAAAGGAACGATGCTACCAAATTTGTCGATCACTTTGAAGCTAAGGTAACTAAAAGCGAAAAGATAAATGTTAGTGAAAACTACTGCATCTGTTTTATTCAGTCGTCGCAGGAAATTTGGCCCTAAACTGCTGAATGACAAGTTGTGTCATCTCATTACTTATCTTTTCTGATCATTATTAGTCATGATGCACATTGGACAATAGTGATGAATGATGAAGTGACACCGATCACTTTTATGATATTTCCCGTTTTATGCGATCTCCTGCCTTTCCATGGTAGTCACTGTTAAAGTTAACAAACTAAAGGAGGCAACATACCTATCTATCCAATGAAAAGTAGTAAATACAGCTTAGTGGTGAACCTTTGACTGGAGAGTGGGTGCAACCTGAAAGGGAGGACTGCCGTGGCCAAGTGGTTACGGTGTTAGACTTTTGTTGTGGGTTCGATTCCTGCTGTTGCCTCTCGATTTTTTTCTGACACATTAATGGAGCAGCAAGGATATGGGAGCAAATGCCATACAGTTGCTGCTTTCTTGAACTTAAAACAGGCCTTCGATAGGGTATGGCACGCTGGATTAAAGTATAAGTTAAAACATATGGGAATCCCGAAATACCTATATGAGAAGCTCCTTTCTCAAAGACAGAAAATTTAAAGTCAGAGTGGGCAATTGCTATTCAGCCGAAAAAAGTATCAACTTGGGAACTCCGGAAAGGTCAGTACTGTCACCTATATTATTCAATATTTTCATGAGCGACTTCCTATCTCAAGAAGAAGTGAACATTGCTGCCTATGCTGACGATACAATGGTATATGCCACTGACGCAGATGGCGTCTTATGGAACTGGAAAAACTAGAGTAGAGTTTTTATCTTCTTTATTTCATTATGGTTTTTTGTAATCTGTACATTATTTTTACTAAGCTTTCTTATCTGGTAGATAGACTAGGTGAGGGGCATCGGTGGCCACAGTGGTTTAAGCGTTGATAAGGCACTCATCACTGTAAGGTAAACATACCAGGTTCAAATCCAGTGGCCCTGCACTTGAACACCATCACCTATGACCTCTGCTTTTACAAACCTTCATTAAAAAAAAGTCCTGGGCCAAAAAAAAAAAATGTACTGACCCCTAGTAAAAATAACGTATTACAAATAATTCATAAGTAAATTGTTTTGTAGTTGTTTAATATTGTCAGGGAATTGAGGTGCTGTTCTTTCGAAAAGCTTAGTTATTGGTTATGATAGGCTGTATTTCTATATTTAATAATAATTTCTTACTAATATAAAGTACATTTAATTTTAACTCTTCCGTTTGCCATTTTTTTGTCTCTTTCCCAGCATTTGTTTCAATATGTATTTTGCCGCAGTCAGAACGATTTTATTATTCTCCCACAATTGTACACAAAGTATAACTTACTTTATCTATTTATTATGATTTACATTTTGTATGAATTCCTAGAAAAAGCTTCAAGATACTGTCACTATGGGTTTTGCCAAAGGTGCTATGAAGTGGGGTTGGCGTATAGCTTCATTTTCAAGTATTTATATGTAAGTAAAACAAGTTATTACAATATATCATAAGTTAATTCAATACCAAACAATTTACTCTAAAATATTTGCAAAATTTGTTCTTTAATAGGACCTCTGTGACATTATTTTCTGCGTATCGGGGTGAAATGAAACTTTTAGATTTTGTCACTGCAGGAATTTTAGCAGGAGGCTTGTATAGAGCAAATCATGGATTCAGAGGCGTAATGGTAGGATCTTGCATTGGTAAGCTTACAAATGGGAAAACAATTCTGTATCTCAATCATATAGAAAAAATACTTTAAAGAAATGTTTTATCAGGCACTTTTTTGGGCTTGTTCGCTGGAAGTTTGTCAGTGGCCATGCTAAAATTATCAGGGACGAATTATGATGATATCTACGCTTGGAATTATGAAAACATAAACATTAGAAATAGGTTTACATGAATTAAAAAATATCCTAATATTCTCATTTCTTTTATTTATTTATTTTTAGGAAATTTGCAGAAAGACTTAAAACTAAATTTCAAGGCGAAGAGAATACAAAACTTCTAGAGGAGCATGATGATACAATAAGTGAACAAATGGAACAGTAAGAAATTTATGTAGTTTCGCAAGTCCTGTAAATAATTTTTTAATTAGAAATAAATCTGTACATTAACATGACACCAATGATTTTTTTTTTATATTTACAATTTTTTATTGTTGTCAAAATTTAAGCAATTACAAATGACACATTTCAATGAAATTATTCACAAATGAAGTTTTATATTTAAAATAAAAATGCAAATGAAGAAATTAAGACTGAACGAACAAACAAAAAATTCAATGTTGTCCAGATGATCTAGAAGGATGAAACTCCAAAGGAAATTCACCTCCTTATGGATCTTGTTACTTTTGCAGCTAATGCCAATCTGAAAGAAGTGTTTGTGCTCAAAAAACTGCTATTGTCAAGTCTTTTGGGAGATACCACAACAAAACTGGTATTACTGTATTTTCGCTGCCAGTACAACCAATAACAATCACCATAAACCAAAATGTGTTAAGCAATGACTTCCAGAGGAACTGACTTCATCTTCGAGAGACTACATCACCCCTAAGGCAACGCACCCCCTATGCCCAAAGAACACAACCAAATGCACGGATAACACCTGATATGCAATCATCGAGTAGCTAGACTTTCTGTGGATGTAGAGTAAAATGTTGGTTCCAGTCTGTAGATCTAAATAATTTGGGTGTCAAATTAAATCATGTGCTACAAACTTAAAGAGGCCCCTGACTTTAACTGAATTTGTATTCTGCCTATTATAAATCATCTTAGAAGTGGACACTTTCATGGAACTGTTGTACCATTAATAATAAACTGAATGAACTTAATAATTATATTGAAAAATCATTATATTGAAGTTGTAGCCTTATCGGAAACATTAATTAATGTACGTTACAATCATTTGCCCTGGTTTTGCAGTACTTAGGTTTGATTCTTGCCAAGGGGTTGCACTCCTTATCAAAAACAACTTAGCTCATTATGAAATTCATCTTCCTGATTTTAAAAGCTTGGTTGCAGTCGGTGCAAAATTTGAAAACAAAATTAAATTTGAAAACTTTGAAGTAATAATGGTGTTGGCTTATTAGTCCCCAAATGCCAAAACAAGTGTCCTTTTTTTTGTATTAAACCAAAAATATCAGTACATATTAAATTTTTCCACTTGTTCTTAGTCCTCAGACATAACTCAGTTTGATATTTATTTTAAAGCTCTCCAGTTACCAAAACTAAACTTCAACTTTCAAAACTAAAAAATTGGCATGCTCCAAACTATGCTAAAAGTAGAACTGAACAAATGTACAAAGAAAGAAATGACCATATGCTGGACGAATTTACTAGGTGCAAAACAAATAAAGGAGTTTCTCAGCATCTCAACCAGAAAATGGAAAAAAATATAAGAGATCTGGAGTCAACGTATACTCGCAGTTAAAAGTCCTTGATTGTGAAAATTATATATAATTATTACAATAAATTATATTAAGGTAATATACAGTTGTGATCCGACCTTCATACTGGAAAGACCGTCCAAGGATCGAGATAAAACAGCGATATATCTAAATCCTGAAGCAAAAAGGGATGTTTCCTTTTTTTGAAATTCTTCAATTTATAAGAAGTGAAAATTATTTTAATTTTAAATCATTACTTGTAAACAAAAACATCCGGGGAGATGTCCCTGGTCAACAAAGGGAAACTTCCGGATGACACTTTTAAAAACAATATGATGGAGACAGGCCAAAACGAAATTGAAAGAAATGAGACAAAAATAATACAAAACCAACCTCATTAAATCTGTCATGCTCTAGACGATGAAAAATGTAGTCAGCAAGGTTTTTTTTTTTTTCACAAAACAGATATTGGCCCTTATCATGTTTATTTGGAGAGTAACACCTTGGACACTCAAAATAAAGGATTATCAAGATTACATCCTATGACAATTGGTAAAATTTTATTTGAAAATCATCCAAAACATCCAAATTGTTAATTTAGACAAAGCCAGCCAAAATACCGTACGTGTCAATTTCAAATCATATTGGGCCTAACAATAATCAATTCTAGCTATCGGAAAGAAACAATATTAAAGCTTTTTAATATGGCAAGGACTAATTAGGAGTGTCGATACAAGTCTGAGTGAGAAGGAAAGTTTAAACGCAATAAAATTAAAAGAAAGTATCATAGAAGCTGTCGAAGTCAAAAGATTCAAACATAAAATGGAGAGAAACAGTCCAATAAGCACAAAAAAAAAAAAAAATGCTTTACTACCAACTGGGACTATACTAATTTCCTTTAAAGGCCAAACTCTACCCGATAGTGTATATATTCACTATGTTAAATGTAAAGTTCAGCCATACGTTAGAAATGTGATTGTGTTTTAAATGTCTAAGATATTGACATGTAAGAGAACATTGCAAGAGTACATCTTAGATGTGCAATCTGTTTGGGGCCACACGAGAAAAAAGATTTTGTTAAACAGAAATGCCGATTAAATGTTTACACTGTATGGGTCCCCATTCAGTTTTCTATCAACAAGAATGTAAAGAATATAAAAAACAAAAAACCATTAAGTGTATCATGGCACACGAAAATATATCATATAATGATGCAAAAATCCGTGTGAACCAAACTACTTACTCTAAGGTAACTGCAGGCTTAGACATAAATATAAAAAACAAATCAATGTTTCCCACACTTCCAAAAAATACCCAAAACGCCACTCCTTATGGAAATAAATCAATAAGCAAAAAAGGAATCGTTCTTCCCCGTAAGAACAATGCTGTGCCAGGTAAAATTACCCAAAGAATGTAGCATATACTCAGCCGAATTATATGCAATTTCAAATGCTCTCAGTTATGTTAGCACCTACAAAATGAATGACAAATATTTAATGACAACTGACAGCTTAAGTTCACTTCTTAAACTACAAAATAAAAAATTACATGCTACTGACATCCCATAATTTTTGAAGTTCTAATCAAAATTAATTTTCTCAGGCAGAGCAGTAAAGATGTCAAGTCTGCATGGGTTAAGGCCCACGGTGGCATTGAATATAATAAGAGAGTGGACAGGCTGGCAAAGGAAGCTGCTCACAATGGAAAAGAATGCTTGTTACAAATTCATTATTCAAAAATCAATTAAAAAGGGCTCTAGCAAACGAGTGGCAACTAAGGTATAAACATTCAAACAAAGGGCTATTTTACAAAAACATTCAACCTTACATTGAGACATCCTGGTTCAGTAAACATCACGTAAATAAAGAGATGTGCAAAATTAAAACCAGGCTCAGATCAAACCATGCCATATGTGGTCAATATATGCGTAAAATAAACAGATCTGCTACAGACGTATGCGAGCTCTGTATGGAATGTGTTCAATGGAACATTTAATCATGATTCGTTCTAGGTATGAGAAGGAAAGGAAAAAAATATTTACAGCCTTGTCTGGTTACATAGATAATCCCTTTAATTATCACACTATATTAGAGTCAAGAAACTACTATATATACAGTGAGGTCGTCTCATTTGTAAAATCATGTAATCTCACCATATAAATAACAAATAATAAAAAATATTTAGTTTAATATTTTTATTTAATTTGTTTTGTTAACACTATGTCATCATACTTAAAAAGTAAAAAACTATTGGTTGATAATTAATACCATATTTGAGGCATGGCTATGGGTAAAAATCCAATGCAAAAAAATCTACTCTCAGCAGGCAAGAATTAAGGAAGCCTTTATGCTGGCCATTGCCCATTAAATTCATATTAAAAAATAAAAAATAAATAAATAAAAATAAACAAAATGAGAAACCTGCAGACTGTCATAAAAAAACTATGTGATTGCAAAGCATTAGCCTCTTTAGAAAAGCGATAGGTACTAATACCTAGGCGAAGAAGAACCATAGAAAATATTCAATTACCTTAAACTTATTTTGCAGTTACTGATAATTTTTAATGAACATGATCTGTAAGTTTCATTCAGGCAAGCCAAATCATTTATGAAGATATTTTTGGGTGTACATGAAGTCTTTATAATTAATTAATTTATTGAATTGAGCTACATTAGTAATATGTAATTAGTAGGTCGAAAAGAACACTCAATAAGACATTCAAATTATCATTTGACAATTATTTTCCTCCTGGGGGTTCTGCCATTTGTGAAAAATTTAATTTGTACTATGGGTTTGAATTCAGAGCCACTGAGATTTGAACCCGGGACCCTTACAGTGATGAGTCACCATAATGCCTTACCGTTGTGGTCACATGCCCCTATAGTACCTGTAAATGTTTGACAAAGGTCGTTTATATTAAATAAGGAGGATGCAGTAACTTTATGTTAATATAAGCTGAAATACTCATTAATTTTGTTTGGATCAATAGGTATGAACATATAGAAAAATCAATCAATTATGGCATTATTAAAAATCCATTTATAATCACTCAGAATCATATTAAACCAAAACAAAAATAAGGACAAAATGTATTTTGGGATGTAAAGAAGAGACACAGTACGGCTTAAAGCGTTGTTTCATTTATGCTTACATGTAAACACAGCACATGTGATGTTAACTGCAAAATTAGTTAGGAAACCCAAGTTTCAAGTAGAGTGCATTACAATGATGCTTTCCAATCTGCCTAGATATTTTGTTTTGTTACATTTGAATCTGGTTGACAATCATTTTTGTTTTTACATTATGCTTCATACAATAGTTAAATTCACAATATACTACCCATATCAAAACATACAACCAGTGGGTTTATTTATAATTTTTATTTAAAATCCATTTACACAATATTGTCTGTGTATGCCAGTTTAAATAATGAAGGTTTTGGCACAAACAATTATTTTACATTTACATGATCCATATTTTATTACTGTTTTTAGTTTTTGATTTGATTGAGCTCTGACTAGACCATCAATTTAAAAAACTACCAATTTCATCAATGGCTGTGCATTGAGTTAATGAATTTATAAAATATTTGACGTGCAAATTTAAATTCCTTTCCTTTTCTAATTTCATTTTTGAAAGAAATACAATTACATTGAGGTAGGTGTCAAATTGTACATTTACTATTGCTTTATATTTCTTTGAAAAGTTGAAGTAGATTTTTAATAATTCAATGAATTTCTTTTGTTACATTAAACACGATGAAACCTAAATATTGAGCATCTATACAAATAACATATATCTATTATTATTATTGTACATACAGAAAAACACTCATTTTACAAATTGATGACAAAGTGGGATTTCATTAAATGTATATATTTTTTCAACTAACATAACAGATATACAGGATACACATAAATATTCATCTAATACAGACTGGTCCATTGGAGAGAGAAACTGGAATCTGACAATATAAATAAAATGTTTAATTTTTTTTGGTAAATTCACATGAACAACAAATGCTTACACCATTTTTTAATTATGTACAAGTACGCAGACATCCAAATGGATTACTTACAACTGGGTTTATGTGAAATTGTATTTAAAACTGGTTTATTATATGTTAAAATAAATGAGTAATCAACATCAAGACATCTCATTTTTTAAATATATTTACATTATAACATTCACTCACAATTTCAGCCAATATAAATTTTTACATTTTTCGTTTTATATTAATTGTTTTTCTAAATATTGGCAGTGTCATCATTATAATTATCCAAATCCATCTTTACAACACTTTACAATTGTACCAGACATTTCTTTATTTAAATGAAAGTACAAATTTTTTTAATATTTGAGAAAAAACTAACAACTTTTGAGGTATTTTTGATTCTTAGAAATTTTGAGGTATTATTTTATTTTATGATTTTGAGGTATTTGAATTTCTATTTCTTATATATATTT